AAACTGCCATGGAAAGTGGAGTTCTCCATAGAAGTAAAAAGTTACAGTACACTTAAAATACTTTTATGTAACTGCTGTAGGTTTTCAATGCCATTACTTGGAATAACTATTGTGTTGCAGGTGTGAAGCACTCTGTGTTAAAGCAAGTTGCAGAGAACTTTCTAAATATCCGTGGTGGAGCCGGTGTTTCCAGTGCAAAGGCTGTCTATCGAGGGGGTGAGTCTGTATCTTGTATCTGCTCTGGATGACCCTTTTCTGCTTATTGTAAATGTACTGGTATTCAAAGTTGCAACTGGAAACAATATAGTAGTACCTAATGCTGTACATGGGAAGTGACAGTTCAGACATCTCTCATCTAACTAAGCAGAGGATTATTCCCCACCATGGGAAGTTCTGGGATAAAACTGAACCCATATTTCCAGTAAAGCTTTACCTGTAGGATCATTTATTCCATAAAGTGGGAAACAAACTGGCTTGTGGTTTCTCTTGGCATTTGGGGAATATTCCCTGAAGAGTAGATTAAGGACTGTCTGGAAGTGGTGGCGATTTTTCTCGTTAGGGAAGATCTATTAGAACATTGTAAATCTTTCATAAAAGGTAACGTAAAAAAGATAACTTTTTCAGAGCAGTATTGTGTACTAGTTAATACCAATACCCAGTCTTCTCTTGGAGTATCAGGTCACTGTGACGAGATGGGGAAAATTATTAAAGTTTTCAACATTTAATATTTACCTGGAATAACTTCTTTTTCTATAAAACAGGATCAGTATTGTTATGAACAGAAGGCAATGCTGCTTTCCTGGGTATTTGTTATCTGGAGACTCGCTGGGTTTTATTATCTCATACTATGTATGGTTTAGGGTCAGTTTCAAATAAGGCAGAGGAAGGTGCATGGGTCTGTGATTGCAAGAAAATTTTTGAATGTTAAGGACTGTTTATAATTACCTATAATCTACTAACAGCTCTTTGCTATTTTCCTGAGGGGTTATTGCAACTTCACACCCTGGCTTTTCTCTCATGAAACAAACTCCTGGCTAGGAATGTTCCTTTCAATACCTCTGAATATGTAGTAGTTTCTAACTGAATACTGTATTACTTTTTATTCTGTTGTGTTTTTTAGGAGAAGTCAGAAAACAGAATGGTGAGAGCCTTGTCCATGCTGCTGTTGTCACAGAAGGAGCTGCTGTTGGGAGTGCAGAAGCAAACGCGTTCAGTGTTCTTCAGCATGTTTTAGGTGCTGGGCCCCTTATCAAGAGGGGAAGCAATGTTACCAGCAAATTGTGTCAGGGTATTGCTAAAGCTACTACCCGGCCATTTGATGTAAGTTCAGAGGTTTATTGTACTCTGATGTTTTAAGTAAAATGAGTATTATCCTTTAAGAGTTTACTACCTCCAGATGCAATCATAATTAGTCCACTCTTGCACAAGTTACAATATTTCAGAGAAGGAATTCCAGTCTGATCTTTCCTCTGCACAGATGGAGTTTAGCTTCCTGACTTACAGTATTTTAGATCCTGATAGTAATTATTTTTCTATGCTTGATGTTGAGTTGTTCTGATACTTGAAACAGTTGGTGATAATGTTTGTGTTGCAGGCTTCTGCAATTAACGTTAATTACTCTGATTCTGGGCTCTTTGGGATTTATACCATATCCCAGGCTTCAGACACTGGGGAGGTGAGTTGCTGATTAGAATTTAATTATTATGAACATAACCCTTAAACTGGTTTTCATTTGAGATACAGTCTGATTCATCTAAAACACTCAGTTCATCTGGTTTCTTATATGAGAATCCTGCATGGTCAGTTATAACTTAGCTTTGTAGGCTGGGATTGAGACTTGCTGTCTGGGAAGTATAAATACCTAATACAAATGAGAGCTAGTAAAATACCTTGGTTGCTGGCTGTAATTGCTGACTTACATGTGTAAGCCTAAGTATATCATAAGGAACATGTTGGCTCTTGAAGCTGGCAGAACTGAGTGAACTCTAATGAAAAAATGGTGAGGCCATACAGATTAATGTGGTGTTGCAGTTTCATTCCGCAGTTAATTTTGTGTCTTGCTTGGGCATTTATTATGTAATTATTATGGTTTTAGTTTTGTTATGAAGCTGTTTAGAAGTGAATTCAGGCAGACCATCCTGACATCATCAGCTGCTCTGAAGTTTCTGAGATGTCATGTAATAGAAATAACATGTTGAAATTTAATGCTGGAAGAAGTCTTAACTGGTGTAATTTTCCTCAGGTGATTAAAGCTGCTTTGAACCAGGTAAAGGGAGTTGCTCAGGGCAGCGTCACTGATGACGATGTCACAAGGGCCAAGTAAGTGCATAAAGAGCTCTCTTGTGTGTTGCAAAGAGAAGTTTCTTAACATGTAGCTACTTGTCAAACACTTAAATTATTCTGTACAGCAGAGCTTACCATTGTCCTGTAATTGTTTCCATGGGGAACTGCTCAATTTCCTGTGTTAAAAATGAAGCAGTGTCAGTAGGTTTTTTTCCCAAAGCAGTACTGATCCTCTGCTAGTGGTATTTACTTATAAAAACTTGGTAGATAATGGTTTCTGAAAACTGTTCCAGTGTAAGATATCAGCAAGTATCCACAGATGCTGTCATTTTAATTGTACTCTGTAGTATTGAGATGTATTCAAATTAGATTCTTAAATTGCATTATTTAGGTAATTTCCTTTATAGTTGCACTGCAGCAGTTCCGCAAACAATTACATTAGACAATCTTCTGCATCTTCAAAGAATAGTAGTAATTAAGGTCTGCAAGTGTAAAGCACTGAATTAGCACTTTAGTGTTTGAAATATGTGCCCATAGGAATATTTAAGATGTGGGGGAAATTACTATTAGAGATGCAGTAAAAACCAACAAAGTTTTAGGGTTTCTAATTTACAGAGGGCTGTGCACACTAGTTGGGCTTAATCTCCAGGTTTTCTTAGACTGCACTGAGCCTCTTGAACTGTAGTTACGCAATATGACAGTATGGTACAGATTCACTCAAGTAGCAACATTAAAGTATTGCCTGTTACACATGCAAAATACTTACAAGACTCCAGGTAAAGCCTGCTTACAGAAAACATAATAACCTAGACATGCTTGATTGTGCCTTTGTCACTAGTAGCTAAATGGTGAATTCTGGACCTTTATATGTGACATCATTTGTTTTGTATGTGGGAATTGTTTTGTGGGGCTTTTGGGGTTTGTTTGCAACAAAGCTGCCTAGTATTAGGGAGTTACAGTACTGTGGCTTTCTGGGGGGGAAGAGGGGTTCCTTTTCCTCAAATGGATTCACATATTTTCTATCTTGCTCTTTTTTCTTTAGTGATGAAAACCAACCAACCAAACAAAAACTAACCCAAAAACCAAACCAAATTCAAGGCCAGCGATATTTGCAGTCTGGCAATTCAGTCTAATCATATTCTATTGGAATGAAACATTTTCTGCCATTTTGTTGTTTAAAAATATCATAGAATGACTAGCTTATAAAAATCAGATTTTCATAGGTAGCAGTGAGACTGCATGAAACAGAACAAACAGTGTAAACTTGTTGTCTTTTAACAGAACATGGAACTATTGCTTAAGGAGCCTAACCATTGACATCCACTGCTGCTTTGTCACTTCCAACAAAATAGCTCTGCATTGTCTGTTCTTGATGAGAAACGGGAATCCATTTTAAACCTAATTTTAAAACTTGATGAATTAGTTTGTCTGAATCCTGTGGTACCTGCATCACTTCCTTCAAACAGAAACAAATTCTGAGCTTGAGATCTTCTGACTGCGGGAGGTGGCAGTTGGTGCTGGGGTACCCTGTCATTTTCATGCTTGGAGTATTTGTGGTACCTCTTTCCTAAGTATACGGAACCCTTCCATAGTTGACAAGGAAAATCTTCCAAAATGGAGAGGAATTTTTAAAACTTAAAAAGCACCGAAAACTCATTGCGCTTACAGGTGTGGTAGCTAAAGTAATAACTTTCATGTTCACTCATCCTTAATGCTTTATTTGATGGCAGAAATCAGCTGAAAGCCACCTATTTGATGTCAGTGGAGACTGCAGAGGGGTTGCTGAATGAAATCGGCTCAGAGTCTTTGATGTCTGGCACGCACACATCGCCATCTGTTGTTGCTCAAAAAATTGACTCTGTAGCCACTGCTGATGTTGTGAATGTAAGTATGTGTAAGCATTACAGGTGTTTATTAATCACTGTGTAAGTGGTTTTTGTACAAAAGGGGTGCTCATTTATGTATGTTTATAAACACACACACTATCTTTTAAAAAAGCCAAAGCAACTTACAGCTCCCAGCTGCCTGTCTTACTAGGCCTTTATTACCAGGGGACCCTTTAATCCAGTATGCTGCAAAACTGGTGTAGCTGGGAGTGTATGAAATTCTCATCTACTTTACTTGAGTTTACCAAAACTGTCAACTAGTATTCAAGAAAAACGCGATGCTAGTTCCAGTGCAGACACTTCTATGTCAAAGGTTTTAGGATTCCTGAGCCTAAAATATTTGCTGTGATTAATAAAATGATTACTCTTTCAGTAATAAACTGATGTAACTGCATTGCTATTTCAGTTCACTTTCTTGCTTAGCAACTTGAAGCAAACTTTATACAGAAATCCATCAGACATTCTAAGAAAACTTGTTTTTTTCACAGTTATCACTATTTTGTGTTGCAGTAGCAACTAGCAATAGCTTTAGTAGTAAGGAAAGATCCACTGTAGCTTGTGGTGTAATAATTATTCTAGACATAACTATTTTCTAAGAGTTTATGCCTTTTATATCCAACTGTCATTCTGACATTCCTGTTTAGACTATAAAGTAATAAGAAGGAGCTGGAATGGAAACAAGTTTTGACAGCAAAAAGAAAACTGTTTATTTGATGTATGATGGTAGTGTTGGGATTTGGCTTTTGCTTTAATAACTTGAAGCTGAGGCTGTGAGCAGCAAGATAAATTCTGTTGTAGTGAATATTTCCTTATATCTATCTTTCCAATATATTTTCAGGCTGCCAAGAAGTTTGTCGGTGGGAAGAAATCGATGGCAGCTAGTGGGGATTTGGGAAATACTCCTTTTCTTGATGAGCTGTAAAAATGAAACTGGGATGCAGATTCACAATGGACCCACAATGAGCTCTAAGTCACCTACGCTCGAATTACTACTAATTTGTTATTTATGCATTCATTTATTTCAGCAAATTTCTCTCAAGTAATTGTGAGCTTGCACTTGTCAAATAAAGTGCTGCGTTCATACATTGTGTTGATTTTTTTTTTTTTCTACTGAAAATGGTATGTAAAATGCTGGTAAGTCTGGCTCTGTACACTGAAGATAGAACTACAGTGAGCAAAGAAGGTGACATTTTAGACAATGTGAAAAACAGATATATCATCATGATAACTGTGATGCAGACAAATACTGTGGTTGCCACTAGTTGTCTGTATATTCTTGTATGTTCAGGAGGGGTTTGTGATCAGCTGTCTCCACCATCCTTATATCAAGAAAATGAAGAAACTTGCCTTCAAAGAAAGATGAATATATTAGACTTCCCTAGAGCTTGCAACTGCTACTTGTCAGGGATGAGCAGAGGTAGTGTCTCTGACTTTCTATTCTACAAGTAGTACTGATTGACATCTTTGTGGGGAGGGAAGGCATTGTTAAACAGCTTTCTGTAGCTAATACAGCATTTCAAATATCTTGGGACATTCAGATTTTTTGAAGGCATGTGTTAGAAGAAAACGGATACAACTTCAGAAATTTATATCGAGACAAGTCAGGTTCTGAGGTATTCTGCAATAAAGCAAATTCTTCGAGATGTATATGATATAGAAAGGCAGGAAGAAGAGAAACTGGTCTCACAGTTTTCTGTAGCTCGGTATGGAGGAGCTCTAATACTACTACTACCAAACTCAGGATTGTACGATGCTTCAATATCATTATGAAGAGCAGCATCACAAACATGGTCTGTGCCTACCCCAAGTGTCTGGTCCTTACCAGGTATCTTCCGGATTTTGTGCATTGATTGTAACTTAGGAGTGAACTCACAGCAGTTTGGGGAGATTTGTACTGAAAAATTTACAAGCCTTCATCATCATCAGTACTGGACCCGATGCCATCTTCATCATAGTCTGTGCTGAAAATACAGAAAATACTGGTGTTACTTAAACATGCAGTAATTGCCACAGCCATTTAGTTCACTAATAATGGACTCTTGTTCTAAAGACAAGTTTATTAGTTCTGAAGCTGCTCTAATATCAAACTAATACTATTTTCCATAGTCCTTTGCACTCTGTTTCCCTTGCACTCCACAGCTGAGTTGTAATTCAGTCACCAGAAAAGCAAACTGTCTTTTTTCTGCTCCTTCAGAATAGAAATAATTTGATGTATTTAAACGTAAGCATACAGGTTTAATCTCTTAGAAAGCCCCTTGTGTCCAAGGAAGCTCCAGCTTCGTTTCTGCTGTTCTAGCCTAATTATCTCCTTTAAATACTCAGTTCCTTCCCCTACCTTTTAGGCTTCTTTTCTACTAAACCTTTGTGCCTCAGGAAAACTTGCATCCCATCTACATTAATCATACTGACTATGGATCCTGTGCATGTAGGATTGAGCACAGTGTATTTTTAGGCAGTGGGTCTCACAAGAAGAGTTCTTCCGGAAGTTTAGTTTCAAGTCATACTCATTAGCCACTGTCAGTAATTAAGACTGATCAAAGAAAAGATAAGCTTTTTAGATGGTGGTAGCAAGACCTCCATCTTGGTACCCTCAGCTACTTGCAGTTGTCTATATCTTTGGCTATGACAAACTGACATGGCCTCTTGACTTCAGAGGCATTCCTGCCAGCCAGACTTCTGCTTGCTGTGGAAGCAGGAAGGGGCATATCTAAAAATGCTCATCCTGACCCTGTCTCCCCTGTAACTAGAAAAATGAGCTTTTCTTTGGTATATGTTCATTTCAAATCACAGGTTTTTATTTCAGAAAAAGAAAATACTAAACTGTAAAAGCTATTACACTATTTCTTGTTTCTCGCTGGAATTATAAGCAACATGTGAAATTCTAGTTATGTATAATAGTTATTTCTTACTCTACTGACACCACAGGCAGCTTTACTTCAGGAATTAATTCAATTGCACTTTGCCAGTCTTGAGGTACTTCAACAAAATCTCTGTAAACTCTGATTTGTAGAGTAGTTCCTACAGGGATATTGTGCAGGAGTTGCCTAAGCTGTCGCAGGGTCCATCCCAAAATGGTGGCATGTCCAATTTTTATTAGAACATCCCCTGCCATGGAAGAAAGCATACAACAATCAGTTTAAGAGACTTGATTTTTAACTGTTCATGTGATAAAACATGTAATCTTACCACTGTCACATTTTTATTGCATGTGTTTGGCAGTTCTTCAACTGGATGCATTTCTTTTTCTTTCTATTTTAATGAAAATGATTTTAGCTCTGTTAAGAACTAACTGTTCACAACACTAAGGAAAGCTGCAGATTGCTTGTTTACATCAGGATTTTTCTGAGTTAACATGATAAACTTTATGTTGCTTATTCTGTGCTATCTTCCATTTCTGTGGGGTTTGGGGGCCAGGTAAAAGTAGAATGGTGAATGCTCTGATCAGGATCACTGCCTGGAACCAGACAGACTCCAGCAAGGTTCAGCTGAGGTTTTAACAGCTGCACATGTCACCTTGTGTTTGTTTGGGCCCCTGGAGGCTTTCAGGGTTGGCTCTCCTTGGTGGCTGGTGCCTGTTGCTCTGTTGCCAGCACATTGGGTACATTGCAAGACAATGTCAAGCAGGCCAGGAGGTGCCTACAAGAGCTGGTACAGAAGCTGAGGAGTTAAAGCAGAAAGTGGTGGTGAGGTTTTTTGTTCATTGGTTTGTTTTAAGGGATAAGGCTGTAAATAGCATTATCTACTGCCAGTGGAAAGCATTGAGCTGCAGTTTGGCAAAAAGCAGTACTGCATCCGAGAAGAACAGAGTACAGAAGCCCCAGCACCTATATATACCATGGGGTGTAACAAGGTGGGCTTTGAGGGTTTGGGAGAGTTGGAGTTAGTGTGTAAACCTGTAGTTTTGGAGACTGCAAAAGGCAAACAGAATCTTCCTGCAGCAGACTACAGCTCCATGAGCAGCCTGGCAAAAACAGTTGCACAGCGGAGCAGTATCAGTAAGCATTATGCACTGAACTGCAACAGAGCATCATAGGGGATTTTAAAAATCAGTACAGTTGTCTGCTGCCACATTAGCAGAGCAAGGAGCCTCTCTCCATCTGTTCTATTTTCTTTATATCCTTTTTGGGTTAAAAATGCCTATAGCAAAAAAATTGCAGGCTTTCAAACTGTTTAGCTGAACTACTACCATTTTTTCATTCTCCTTTTTCCACTGACCACTCCTAATCCATCACCATCACACCCTCTCTCCACTCTATTTTATCACAAGATACTGGTTCTACTGGGGTGCAAACAAGAAGTTCTAGAACAACTACCAGGGTAGCAGATAACAAAGCAACAGAAAACATTTTACCAACAGTTTTATGTAAGCTCTCAGCATCAAGCAGAAAGATAAATTACCCAAATTTATGTTTCAAAATATACAGACATAAATTTACTTATGATTTAAAGTATCTGCAAGACACTCTTGGCTTTGAATAGATTCTTTTAGAATTCATTTTTTTTCTGCCCATCCTGTTCTGATAACACTGCTGTGGTGAGTCAAAGCCATCTCTGAACTGCAGATGGAGATAATTTTGCTCCTTTGCTCCAGCATCTAGAATCTGAACCACACAGCTTTTCAGCTCATTCATCAGTGATTTTGTGATTCATATCCTTCAGTGGCCACTGAAGATTAATGTGGAGAAAATCTCTTGTACTATGAAGGTATGCTGAGGAAACATGTCCTAAGCAGCCCTGTTTCTTCTTGCTGGCATGGAGAATAGGGCATGCATATGTACATACGAGTTTGGTAAATACAACCATAGAATTTTAAGACATTAATGCCTCCCACTACCTTTGTTAATTTCTAGCTCCTCCCATTAAAGTCAGCAGAATGCCACCAGCTCTTCCAAGCTGAAAGCAGTTATAAAACTGTTTTTTAGGTTTCTGTTTGACATTGTATAGATAACAATCAACTGGAAAAAAAAAGTTATTTAAAGATAAAACCTAATTCACTGCAAGAAAAAATCTTCAGCAATACATTTGTGTATCATATTTTTCTCAAGCCCATGCTCTGTACATTGGTATTAATGCCAAAATAACTGTGCTGCCTGTGGTATCCTTGAGGGATGGAGCTTCTACAAAATTTTACAGCTTTGGTCTTAAAGACAAAGGTTTTGTAAGTTCACTCTAAACATGAATTGATCAAATTCAGCTGTTTGCTGGTTTGGGGTTTTTTTGTGTGTGGAATATGCTGAGTTAGATCCAGGTGCTCCATGAAGCATGCTCAGATTGTTTCTTTTGGCTCCAAAATCTAAGATCAGCTACTACAAAGGGACAATGTTTGTTACCAGTCCTTAGGACCCTTTAAACTGTTCAATACTTGCTGCAGTAAATCAAACACATCACATACTGTAAATAATTTGACTCCTTGTCCTTGTAGGCTTTATTGAAAATGCTTTTGGAGCTTGCCTTTTTCAAACTATTGCAAACAGGACTACTTAGTTTCAGTGACTAATATTATTTATGTTTTGCTTTAGAGATGTAAAAAAACCTTAAACAAATCAACAACCAAATCAGTATCATATATATGGTTTTGTATAACATAGGGGTTTTGGATTTTTTAGGAAACAGATAAAAGCTATCAGCTCCTAAGATAATAAAGGTACTTAATTCATATCCAAATCCATTCCTGTATTATGTTCGGGATTTTTCCACTGATTTTTATACTGGGATCAAAAATGCAAAGCCTTTTCTAAAATGAGGTTAAGAACTCTACTCACTGGTTTTTATTTCACCAAACAAGTAGATCTTTCTTCTTCTAATTCTCTCTGAAAGGTGCAAGAAGAAAGAACTGCCCACATTATAAAGGTGATGCTGGGAAAATGGTTCTAATTTAAAGACATGCCTTTGCACTGTACAGCAGTAAAGTTCTAAATGACCTCATTACACTCAAGTCATAGCTTCATAGATTTCTACATTAGAGACAATTTAATATTTAGTAATAACATAGCACACTGACATCCCCAAACTGTAGTTCATGAGTCTAATATAATCGGTCTAGGGACCCATGTAAAGCATTCACATTTACAGAGCTTTCAATTACAAGCTTAATATAGGTGTCTGATGTTCCACAAGAAACCTTAATAACCAGTAATAGTCTGTTAGTACTGATCTGGCACATTTCAGGTTTAAAGCATTTAGCAAATGAACACCTGCATGGATTGTTAGAGCACAGAGATTTATCTATTGCCACTTTGTAACTGTTCTGTATAATACAGAGAAATAAAAAGCAAACAATAAGGCAAATTAATTTCAAACCTTTGGGAAGTTTTGTGTTACTTGTAGAGTGAAATTACTTGAACAACAATGCACTGAACAAAGAATGATACTACTCAAGTTTAGTTGCTATATAAAGGTAATAGTCGAACTATTTTTTGACAAACCTGATGAATAGAAAATCTGGTTTTGCTGGAGAAAAGTACATAGACTTAAATCTTGATCTGGTTATGGAACAGTCACCCATATGAGCTATTTTAAGATCACAGGTATTTCATTGCAATGGAATGCTGGCACTGCTTTACACGGTTTATGCTAGTTTCTTTTCTCTGTAATTTTAAACTGAGTTTCTTTTGATGTAAGTGTAAATAAATCAGAGCAGAAGTGCAGAACATTCTCAATGCTATTAAATTTGAGTATCACTGTTGGTTCTTTTTACCTGGTTTTAGCTTTCCATCGTTAGCTGCAGAGCTTTTCTCAACAATGCTTATTATCTGGAGATATGGCCCATTCTGTATGACTATGAGACCTAGTCCGTGTTTACCCATCTTAATAGTTGCCTTCAGTACTGCAACCATTGTACAGTGAAAGATGCTTTCCAGTGACGGCACCTGCCCTTTGAAAAGTGAGAGGAAAATTTTACTAGTTGAAAGTGTGATATAATTCAACAGGTTTAAGGAGACATTTGAGTAGGTGCTGGACCCAGTCTTAAGTGTCCAAATAGTTAAGTCCCTCGTCTTTAACTGCTTCTTTAGATAAGAGTTGCCTGCTGTGTCATACATTTTACCAAGAGAAAAAGCAATACTGCTGTTATTTAAGTGTTCATTACTAATGGTGATATATTCAGGGAAAGTAGAGAACACGATACAGGATAAAAGAACAGAGGAGCTGTCAGCTATGAAGGACTTCAAGAAAAGACAGAATTCCTATAAAAATGGATTTTTCAAATCAATATTTATAAAGGAGATTAATTTCTAAATTTCCAGCAGACTGGTTCCACACCCTACTGCTGACATGAGGGAAGGGGCTGCACTTGCCATAGCTGGCATCTACAGAAATAAAATACTCTTGAGCACCTGCTATGCATTAAAATGCAAAGTAATACAATATAAATGACATTTATCTCAGTATCTCCACCAAGAAGTATACTAGGGATAATAAAGAAATCTCCTCCATCTCTCAAGCCTGTTCTCATTAACAGCCAGGAAAAATTAAGACTGTCACATGAGTGCTTCAGACTCCTAAACCAAACTGTATTCTGTTAAAAATTACTTTCTGTCTCTGCTTTAAGATGTAATCTCTAAATGTAACTTCTGTCAGTAGAGTACCAATAAATTAACTACTTGAGACTGTCTCCAGCAGTCTGAAAACACTTAATGAAAATTCCCACCACTCTACCCTCCTTCTCTAAAGTACAGAAACTTAGTCATCTTTCCAATGGCTTTAGTAAAGTTTTGGATTAGGCTGCAAATGGCAACCCAGAATGTCTATAAAAGAATTAAGATGGAAAGTATAGCAATGTGAACATGTTATTTGTCAATTTGGCTGCTGAACTGAAAAACAGAGAAGGAAGCTGGAATGGGTTTATGTTTTTTTTCCTTCCCAATGAAAAATGCAGGGTTTTTTTAAATGTTGTTTTAAATTTAATTTGGATTAAATACTTAATTTGCATGGTCAAGCAAGAAAAGCAAAGGAAGACTCACTCTAGCACACCCTTTAACCTGTTGATCATTCTGACAAGTTGGATATCTGACCTGTGACTTTTTCTCTCGCTCAGGAATTTATGCAAGGTGGAACAGGATCAGTAGAAGTGATTAAAATCTGACCTGTGGTGTTCTTAGTCACTTTTCAATGTGTTTCAATCTATTTCAGCCAGAAAAGGGAACTGAATCCTAGTTTCCTACTTCCAGAATAAGTACTTAATTCCCAGGCCAATAAATATACACAGATTGTATGAAGTAAGACTATATTGTTTTCTAGCCAAAATTATTCATCAAATCCCATTAAAATTCATGAGCATTTGTAGGTCAGCAAATGCTCAGCAATGAAATGGCAAACAAAAAATGCTATTATAAATCTAGCTTTAGTTATAGATACCAGAATCCTGATCTTAGGCTGCTTCTTATTACATGACGTTATCTTGCTGGACATGAGAGTTTTAAAACCATGAAAACAGTGACAAAACCAAAACCTACAGAACAATTAGAAAGAATGCTAAAATTCACAGCTGAGTCTCTTGTCTTTTTATTATACCTGGTATCAGTCTATATACTGTCCAAGGAAGGTGAATTTTCTCTTTGTTCTGTGATACAGAAAGTTTAGGTACTTGACAGAACTTACATTACAGTTGCCCTAACACTCTCCTGATTTTCTCCAAGTTACCCTCCAATTCTTGAGTTTGCAGGCAGCAGTGCAGGATCTCTCTCTTCTCATGAAGAAACATCGTTTTCCTTGTCACCTGCCTTTAATTCTGTTCCACATACTTAACCTCAAGAGCAGAAATGCCTCTTGATACTAGGAAAATTTGGGGCACTGGGGGCTCTGTGAAGAAGATAAAGTGTCTGGTAGCACAAGGACTCAAAAACTTTCAGATACTGAAATGCAGGAGTGGAAGAATAGTGCTGAGGCAGCAGTGGGAAGGTGGAAATGAACAGAGGAAGAAATTACCAAAAGAGATGGAGACTTACTCATAGTTTCATCCCCAGGCTCTTGTAAAGACTGGGTATGTTCCATCAAGTCCTGAGGAAGATTTTTTCCTTTAAAGTCAAAATAACGCCGGAGTGTCCGAGGTGAGCCTTTTGGAAACATGTTACTGCTCCATGGTGACCTGTGGAGGAAGAGTCTACCAGCAGGTGAGGAAACAACAGTGTCTACCAACTACTCAGAATGCCAGGGCAGGCAGGTTCCAAGCTCCCCCATCACCACAACAGCACCACGGGCATAGGGAACTCTGGCATTGGGCAGAGGATGTGTCTGCATCTAGTGCATTGTTTCAGTCCAAGAGGAGTTAGATTTAGGCTGCCTCTCTGTCAATACCACAGTTCTGTCTGAAGCCCCAGAGCTTTCTGGAGAACCTATAGCTGCTGGTGTCCTGCCATGCAGCATCCTTAGGCACATACTCATTCCCTGATAAAACTGAGACAGATTAAATCAAATAACTGATCACACAGCCTGCATGGTATGAAGATGACTCTGTCACTATTTCAGATTTCATATTTTCTGTATATCAAAAGCCAATGAAAACCATCTCTTCCCTTTCTTTACCCTTTCCACCTCTCCTTTCTTTATGCCTTTTGCCACGAAGCTGAGTTATTTGGAGAGAAACTTATCTTGAGACAGAATTTTACATAATGCTTGTATTAAAAGCTATTTCAATACCACTTAAAGCCAGTTTATAGGATAGTCACAGGTGATTCTTGGAAATAACATATTTTCAAGGCTGCTGTATTGTTGTTGTTAGTGCAATATAATTTCTATTTTTTTTTTATAAAGAAATCAATTGTCCCATTTATTCCATGCACCAATTGTTCCCTGTTTAAAGGGAATTTCAGCAGGTTTTCATCAAAAGTCTTATTACTTTCTCTACCCTTAAGAAAATCTGTCAAGAATAGCTGATTTCAATAGAACCTAAGTACAGCTCTTGCCCTCCAAATAGTAAGCCCTGCTGATTGCTGTTGAACACTTTATTTTACTAACATGTTCATTTTGGTTGTATAGCCTTCCATCTACACAAAAGACTTACGTAAAGAGTTCAGATAGTTGCTCACTTGGCTTCTGGAGTGTGCTGTTGCTCTGGAAATAAACAAGGTGTTTGCTGTTAGAAGGAAAAAACTATGCAAACATTAGATATTTTTCCCATTACCTGTAGATGTGAGGCCTGCTAAACTGATTGAGTTCAGCATTCCCACGCCAGCATGACAATGTCAAAGGCACAGAATTATTGTGGCCAGAATTGGGCTGGTTTCTCACATTTACTGCATAGTTCATTTATTGGCTACAGATTCCCCCATGCTTCAATACAAGTAAATCCATGGACAAGCATGTAACCAAAAATCGCTCTATTTGGGTAAGTTTTCTAGTCAGGATGAACTAGGTTTTCTTCCAAGCATACAGCACAGACAGCAATGCAATGTAGCGCTGTTGTGGTGCTCCAGAGTCATGTAAGGCCTGGAGGGACCTCCATGAATCAGGCCATCCACTTCCCTGGTTTTACAGAAGCAACTCTGAAATTTAAGCTGACGCCCGCTGTTTCAAAGGGACAGCGTGATAGTGACACGTGAAACAATAAATTTATGATCGTTCCTCAACCCCCTACGCAGTGCCCACCAAGTTGCCCATTCTCGATTTCCCTTGGGGAAGGGCAGGCCTTCCCGCAGTGCACTGAGGTCTCCGGGCCGGTGCAGGTATAATAGGAGGGATGCCCGTGCTCCTGTTGAAAAACACCTTTGGAGACCGGGATGCGGGACAACTGCTGGACCAGATGTGACAAAACGAGGCACCGCTGCCGCGCGTACCGGCCGCCCTCACAGCAGACCCGCCCTGAGGCGGTGGCCGCCCCACCCTCCCCTCCCGGCACCCCCCCTCCGCCCCCCCCTCTTTCGACAGGCCCGCGCACAGGGCCCTGCGGCAGCGCCCCCTACAGGCCTCGCGGCGGCATCATGTCCCGCCCCCTCCCCTTGGCCCCGCCCACCTCGCGCACGGCCACCTCCCCCCCCCCCCGGTGGCAAGCCCCGCCCCCTCGGGCAAGCTCCGCCCCGCCCCTCGCCGGGCCCCGGGGAATCCCACCGCCTTGTTGAGCGTTCCCCCGCCCCGCTGCGGTGGAGGCACCGCCCCCCGCTGGAAGCTCCGCCCCTCCAGGGGGAGAACGCCGGGGACAGCGGGTTTCCCTTCCGGAGTATTCGCCGTACCCCCCCACCTGGCGGGTTCGCTTCCGGCTCCGTCCGGGGCCCCGTCTGTGGCGCTGCTGCCGAGGGGAGCGCGGGGCTCATGGAGCCGTGGCTGTGAGGCGCCCCCGGCCCGGGCCCATTGTGGGAGCCGGGCGGAGGCCGGAGCCGGGAGCCTCCGGAGCCGGAGGAGATGGACAAACTGACCATCATCTCAGGATGCCTCTTCCTGGCCGCCGACATCTTCGCCATCGCCAGCCTGGCGAACCCGGACTGGATCAACACCGGCGAGTCTGCGGGTGAGCGGGGCCGGCGGCGGGGACCCGCCTGGGGGGGGGGGGCAGGTGGCGGGGGAGGGCCCTGCCGGCACCCGAGGTGTCGGGGCCGGGCGGGGTGCGTGCCTGAAGCGGCTGCGGGGCTGGAGAAGCTCCCTGTAAGGGGCAGCTCCTCAGCCGGGGCCGCAGGGCCTGGCACTGCCGCGGTGGGGCTGGCGTCACGGAAGCCTGGGGGGCTAGAGCTGTGGGGGGCTCCTGGCTCCGTTCTTAGGGCGAGCTCCCCACGATGTGGCCATGGGCGAGGCTCTGGGTCAGAGCTGGCGGGACCCTCCTGCCCGGTCAGAGCCACCGGTGCCCCCCGCTGCCTCCCAGCTGCTGGTCCCAGAGCACATGACCCTGAAGCCCCTCCGCTGTCTGTACTGCCGGAGGTCCAGGGCAGCATCCCTGCCTGCGCCTCGGAGGTTCAGTCACCTTGGACAGGGAATGTGCATCAGTGTCTGGACATTTATGGCAGGTTTTAAGTCTTTCGAACTGTACTGATGCTTCCTTTGTTGCAGGGAAGATCTTGCTTTCATTCATCTTTTTTTTTTTTAGTTCCCCCCAGAATATTTCCTGCATGCTGATTGTTATCAGCTTTTAAGCCTAGATCCCATGTGGTTTTCATTTTAGAATGTGACGTTGCTTTCTTTTAGAGAACAAGGATTTGTGTGTCTTTTTACTAATGATGTAATTGCATAACCAATTTATTTGAACCTGTTGATAAGAACCCACATGTTCTGATCAGTGGAGGAGGGAGAGAGAATAGGAGGAGGGCTGCTCTTTCATTTCATGTCCCAGAGAAACCCAAATCTCCATGTCAGGAAAAGAAACCATCCTTACTGCGAACAGATGAAACTATGTTAATCACCTTTTCCAAAACTTGCGGTTTCCAAGCAAACCACAGGTATAGAATAGAGAAAAGCGCTCTTGGGGTAAAGGCTTCTGTCATACATTCTTGCAGAGGGTTTGAAGAATTTTCTTTGTTTTGTCTTGTGTCTTCCATGCCTAATATTCAGGCGTGTAAGAGGATCAGACTGGTTCAAATGGAGAAATATTTCTTTTATTCTGGTGAAGTAGATTACTGGAAATGTTGGCTGTTAGGGACTGATGACTGTAAGGGATTGATTGATTCCCTCTGACCAGGTTATCCTTATGGTTGTTTGAATTGCTTCTTGTTACCAAGGCTAGAACTTGGCCTTTCATATGTGGTCCAGAGGAGAGAAAGGAGTCCCTTTCCTTCCCAAAGTGCAGCATTCAGGAACTCAGCATGACTTCAGCATTCCTCCTATAGCTAATTATGATGTTCTTGCCTATGGCTATATAAAACAGTTTGATCTTTCTTCTTACAATTCCATCTAGAAGTACTGCTGTAGTGAGTTTCTCTTTAGGGGCCTGAAGTCAAATAAAACAATCTTCATTTTAAATATTTAAGTATGACTTTCTTAAGTCCTGCCTTGTGTTAACAGATCCTGTAAGGTCTGTGCAATCTGTAAAATGCTGGATTTTTTCTGCCTGTGTTGAGATGAAAGAACAAAAACTATTCTGATGAAGGTGCTGATGGGGGAAAAAAAAAAAGAGGTCTTTGGGGAACTAAGCAGAGCCCATTATCTCCTTCATTAAAGAAAAAAGTTTAGTATCTCTTTATAATGCAAAACTCGTTTTCTGAAATATTATACCTGGAAACCATAAATTCTTAGTTACTTGATGGATAATTACTTAAGATTAATTTGCCATTTTGGCCCTGTACTCCTATTAGGGGTGTAAATAACAGTTTTAATTGGGCTGGCAAACATGAAGTCTGTGTTTCTGAAGGACTTCACTAGTCAAATAATGTTTTGACAGACCTAAGCATTTTTCTTTGCTATATTTTGAAGCCAAACAAATTGTTGACTTGGTAAAATTGTAAAGGAGAACTAGCTGTCATCCTTCCTTAATGATTCTCTTGTAGATTTTTATTGGTGTGAGATTTGATGCACTCTAAGACGACTGGCTGAAAGCAATATAAATGTATCTTTCTAGTACTTAGACCTAAAATGAACCTTTTGCCCAAATTGTAAAGAAAGGAAGTGTGAGGATGTCCATTGAGTCAAGGACTTCCTGTGGCAAACACTGTAGTATTGAATTATGAGATAAATGCTTTTATGAGTGCCATTCATTACCAAGAGACTGCTGTGGAGAAGTATGGCACAGGGGGACACAGCCCTGATGGTAAACCCTGTCCCAGCTGCTAGAGAGATTCAGGTGCTCTCAGCAGGCTAATCTGCTTGGACCACATTCAAGCCATCCAACATCCATATGTGCCACTAAGAAGTACAGGGTTTTTTGAAGCAGCCTGCTCTCAGCTGGCAAAAGAAACTATTTGGTGAAGGAAAATGTTTGCTTTTCCTCTGGGTTCTTAAATTCATCTCCTGTGGGGATTATTCTAGATTCTCCTTCCACAAGTCAGCCTAATATGAAAGAGAAAAGGGAGTAATACTGTTTCTCTTGTTGATTGCTGTCCTCAGGGTTCTGAAAGACAGCATGGAACAGCCTGGTCATCTCAGTACTGCAGCTGTTTGAGAATTGCATAGAGCAGAGGTCTTGGCAAACCTGGGAAGGCAGCACTGCACTGGTTTGTTGAGAGCTGTTTACAGCTATTAAGGTTGGGAACCTGGGCTTCAAGGAAAGAAAGAAATCTGATTTGAATGCTAAACAACATGTACATCTTACTCCAGGGATAATTATGATTTTGTGCTAAATTGGATAGCAAAATAAATCAGTGGCTTTAATACTTTTCTGAAAAATCTAGATAGTTTTCAATTTATTTTTTTTTAAGGAGCTTATGTTCTGGGGAAGTCAATACAGGGGAAGGGCTGATCAGTCTCTGAAAGCTTACTCTTAAAGATAAGTTTTACAGTTTGAAAAATGTTGGCTATAAAAATTCCTCTCCAGCACTGTAATTATGAGCAATAGATTACAGCTGAGATCACTGAAGGTTTCAGATGCTTATCTTTCTTTAGGCCAGAGGAACTACACATCTGTGGACATGGGTCCAAGTCTCTATTGGGTGCTTTTTCTTTATGCAATTTTGTAAGAATTACTCATTAACTTGGCTTCAGGTATTTGATACGTCTATAAGATGATAAAGGAAAGATGAACATTTAATTGATTTTTTTTTTTCTCTCAGTCAGTGAGGTTTCATTATTCGTGTTGTGCAGGTACAGAAGACGATAACTCCAGTCTAGAAACCAGAGGCTTCTCAGCATTCCTGCACTGGCATCCTTTCCTTGTCAAACTGATACTTGATGTAAGAAATAAGGACAGAGTTGCCTTTAATTTAAGCCAATGCCTAAGCTCCCACTGGTTTCAGTAGTAGTGAATTTTGCTCCTGTATCTCTAAGCTTCTTTTGTGATGAGCTTTAAAAGCTGATAGTTTTGTCTCTGTATGTTCCTTTTTTGTGTGGGAGGGTCTTTAATGATTTTGATATTTTGTCTTCAATATGGGAGGAGGGGGAATAGAAGTTGCTTTAGCTTCAGCTCTCAGCCCTTTTGTAGGGAAATGAGCAGTAAGCACAGTTGAAATTAGACATGTTAAAAGCTGTACATGTAAGGGGATTGGCAGTTTGAAACGCTTTTAGGATAGGTCAAATAATTAAAGAGGATAATTTAGTCAAATTGCCTCTCAGAAAGCTAAGCTTTCACTTTGTTTATATGACTTAGTCATCCCCTCCTATGTAGCGTGTTTCTTCATTTGATTCCAATTTACAGAACAACTTGTACCTTTTTTATAGCAGTCATTAAGCTAATATGGATGTCAGGATTTAAGGCTTCTGAACCCTGATGGGTAACTTCTAAAGCAAGTATTTATCACATTCTCTTATGCTGATACATGCACCAAAACAGGACACATGGTATAATGTTATAGCGAGGCCACTCTGTGTCTGCACACAGTGCTGACTTGGGCGATCCTAGTGTTCAGCAGAGCTTCTGATTTCGTCTTTCGTCTGTGACATAGCATCAAGGTCACTTATGTCAGGAATTATACTTTTAATTTAAACTGCCTTCTGTTCCATGCCATGAAGCAGCTGTATTATAGTAAATTGTGAATCTACGACATGCCATTCATTTTAAATTGTCTTTTCTTTTTAACAAATGATGCCTTTCCACGTATCTTCCAAAGTATTATGTGTAGTTCTTCGTTTTGCATACTCAGTTGCATTTTGTTTGTGAAGCATGATTCCAGATTCTGTGTTATTTATAGTCTTACAGACAAGGAAGCTATACCCAACAAGCCATCCCTCCTGAAGCAGTTAACTCCCTGCTCTTGTGAAAGAAGTTGCCTAGTACTGAGTGACAAATTACTGTTGTTCAGTGCTATACCTCTGTGTGTGATAGCTCTTCCTGAGGAATTTTGCTCCACAGCTCCAACAGGAGCGGTAGCTTTGATGGCATCAGCTTAATGAAGTATCATAAGGTGATAGGACCAAGCAATGATTGCTGGTTCCTGCTGAGCTTGAGACCATATTGCCACAGAAACATTTTTCTGTACTTGGAGCACTGATTATGCAGGGAATAAACCCTATACCACATGAAGGTACTTGAATGAACCAGTATTTCTAAGTAGAATAGATAGAATAGAATAAAAAAAAATCAACAACTTAAAAGAGAGTGTAAACCCTAGTTCCAGCTAGCATTGTTGTTCTAAACCCAGTCATCTACTCAAAAAGTAGTCGTATGTAAAAATTAGTATGGCATATTGCCACTTACTTCTGCCCTTTAGGGCTTGTGCGGAGAAACTCTTGATGTACAGTGCTCCTCTGTGGAGAAATCATGGTATAGAGAAATCTTTTGCTGTCAGGCAAAATAGATAATGTTTAACACTGAACATCGGAGTGATAAAATTAGGTTCTGAAATAATAATTTTTAGGAGAATACCTTCCTTGTGGTAGATGCCTACAGGTGTGTGAACAAGGAGGGAAAAGTGGTCCTTTGTAATATATTGCTGA